GGGTGGGTTGGGGGGAAACAGTTGGGGGTTACGGTGGTCTCACTTTCTTGTCTTTAACTTTAATATATTTATTTTCCTAGGGGGTGCCTACCAACTGCTGGCCAGTAGGTGCCGACAGGTGGATCAGTCGGCTCGCAGGCCACCGACCAATCGAGGGGCACCTACTGTCGGCGTGACTACTCTGTATACTAAATCCTTTTGCGCCCCGTTCACTGTATCTTGCTTCTGAGCCTTGGAACTGCAATCACGTGTGTGTGATTATCTGTTTGATGCCAGGATACTTAATTCTTTTGCTGACCATTTTTGGAGTTCTGATCATGTGATGTGATTATATGTTTGACGCTAGGATAATCCTTTTGCTCCTCATTCTTTGAGCTCCTGTTTGATGTTGTCACTTGCGAATCAGCATGAGTTCGAGTGAATCCATTGTGATTCTAAACGTTCCCCCTGTAAATGATATTAATTCATGGCCTACAGATTGAACTCCATTTGTCCTCATGTCCCATCAGGGGCAACTTCATGGGTCGTTCTGGGCTGGTCGTGTCTTGCTGACTGTTTGATTTGCATATAGGGCCTGGATGGTGAGGCAACAGAGCCCATGGTGGATTCCTTGGAGGATGACAGAGGAGAGGCACAAGATCCAGAAGTCGAGTTCGCCATTGCTGAAGTTATGGCTAAGTGTGGCGGCTTAAAAGTTCTATTGGACTTGATGCAGGTATGGCTGAGATGCGGTTCATGTCTCAGAATGATTCTCTAGTGTTATGCTGGTGACCTGTTATTGGTGGTTCAACTGTTGGATGAGCTTACCTCATCAAATGTTTTGAAACTCCATTGCCACTCTCACAGTCCTCACTGTCTGTGTCTCTCTCTCTTTCTATGGGCCTCCACCTTCCGCCTTTGCTTTCTTTCCCTGGTGCCCACTCAATTGTTAAACTATAACATTTGTTTTCCCAAAAGCTTCTTTTCTCCGTTTATCTGTATCTTGCACCATGTCTGCCTAACACTCAGGCACAGATCGCCAGTGCTCAGATTTGGTGGATACTTGGAAAGGACATAACACATGCTGCTGGTTGGTTCTGTGGCTAAATGCAGCTCGCTATTCTGGTCATTATTTTCACTTGAGGGCAGAAAAATCAATCTTGGCTGCCAGCAAAAGCAAATTCTCCAAATATATGACCAACCATATCTTCAGTAATCTGTAAACCAACAAAATATTTTCCGTTATAAACTTGCTTTGAAAACATATATGCAAATTTCCCCTGAGTACGGACGCCGCTCGGCCGGGCTACGCCCGGCCGGGTCGCCCGGGCAAACCGGGCGGGCGAAAAAACTGCCCAGAAATATATATATTTTTTTTTCGGGGTCCTCGAATCTGCAATAAAATTTTGGTTTTGGGGG